ATTTGTAAGACCGTGTTTATGAATAAACCTTTATTATTATTATTATCCGTTCCGGTTCCGGTTCCGTATTATCGTAAAATATTTAATACTATGTAGGTAAAAACACGTTTCTAGTAGAGGAGACTCCTTGAATTTTTTTTACACATCCGTAATAGGTAGACTGTCTACCTATTACGGATTATACGGATATTAAAAAGATATGTCTCTTTGCAAAACCAGTGAATCAAGCCAATCGAAAAGAAAATGGCTGTCGACGATTTGAGTTGCTCTCCGTTAAATGCGGTCAAATGGAAGGACTAAATATTGGGGTGTCCCGGACTGTGTGACATTAGTGTTTTAATATCAGGCCGAACCTATCCTTTGTAAAGCGTTATGCCAACATAAAATACCGTCTCAACCAACTGAGCACACCAAACTTTTAAGAGGATAATTTGGCTTTCCCTTCCAAGTTACTACAGAACTGTACCTTACTCGATATGCAGTGATTATTCCGATGATGGCTGAGGTAACAAGGGGAATACCCTGAAATTAAGGAGATACAACAAAGGGGTTTTGTAGCGGTCGATGCTAATAGTTAAAGGACTATATTTAGTCGCCTCTAGTCTTGGACTTTGTTTAACAAAGACTCTACTAAAGGCACAAGTATGTTCGGGCACTCGATGACGTGTTTCCGAGAAATATTAGCATGGCCGATGTATAAAAGCATCGCCAGTGACGTCGTCCGCATAATAATGAATGTTACTATAGTTTGTAATTTTAACATATCATTGAAAACAAGACACAAAGTATTCACAAGCTTGGATTCGGCATATGTACCGTCGACTACGACCTTGATGTTCCGCGAGAATTTTGCAAGAAAATTGTAGAACCAATTACATAATTTCTCGGGAAGCCCAAGGACATTATATTGGACACGTTTGCACTAATCAGAAATTTTCTTAGTAATGCAAATGTGGCCTTACTTTTATAGCTTTATAATAAATAAGTTCTTGTAAAAGTGCCTTATGCTGGTGAAATAAATAATATTGCGTATACCTATTTTAATTCGATAAAACAATTACATCTCAATATAGGTGTTTCAACTAAGTCTCAAATAAAAGACATATTTCATTTATCTAGTATAAATTATAAAATAAGTACCTCTTTATCTCGATTTCGAACTAAATTTTATTTAAAAAAAAATAGTAATGACGACTTAAAAATGCAATTGATTATACTTATTTTATGTATTTTATTCTCAGATGACATCCTGGCCTCTCGTAATTTCGAGACACTTGTAGGCCTTCTTCAGAAGTATTTTTAGTCATTCATTCCCAACGTTTACCGCTGCCTCCCAGTACTTCAATGCAAAATTTACAAAATTCTGGAGAAAACTCTTTAGAAGGCTTTAGAATTATATCATTTTCAGGACGCGAAACCAGTTTATGCCTTCTGGTGATGTTAATCAAAATTTTTCGTTTTCGGTTTTAGAGCCTTGTAAAGACATATTTAGTGACGATTGCAGGAGACCCAGTAGGACCTTGGATCCTTGGACGTGCAAAGCCCTGGTGTGAGATGCTAAGTTTGTATACACTTTGGTGACCTTTTATCCAGGGGTTACCTCGGGCCTTGGTTAGAGCTGGGACAGCATTTTTAGTTTAATTTTTTTATTTAATATATATTATAAATAGTTATATAGGTTGTATTTAATAGTTTGAATTATTGATTTTTTATTGTCTTCATAAATTATTATAGTCTCTTAAATTAATGTTGTTGTAATTGACTCGGCACGGCACTTTTGCGAGTAATGGATATTATCATTTTAAAAATTTGTTCAAAACTACCCCGCATTATTTTGATGTATCACATTGCGGAGTTTACGGGAAATTTTGACGATATAAGCCAGCAGTTTTTTTTAGTCTTTTTTTTAATAGTATATGGTGACAAACGAGCACACAGTCCACCTGATGGTAAGTGGTTACTGTGGCCCATAGACATCTACATCTATCCTCAATAAAGACTCAAGATGCAGATGCGCTGTCACCCGTGAGGACTAAGATGGAATGCCTTTTTGCCAGTAAAAAGGGTCTTCGGTTTTCTACACTCACCATACGAAACACAGCAGCGTTAAACTGCTATTTTACGCTGGTTTTCTGTGAGATCGTGGTCCTTCCCCGGTCGAGCCGACCCATTCGTGCTACAACTATACTGCTAATATAGCTGCAGCATGGCTCTACCACGTAAAAATCAGTTAGTCGATGACATCAATATCTCAAGTTCTTAGGCACATAAGTAGATAAAATAGAAACGGGCCGTATTGTATTAATACATTGTATTAATAATTTTAATACAATGTATTAATACTCGTAAGTATTGTATTATATTCAATTTCATGCAATTTTAATATTAAGATAAATTATAGTAAAGCTCAAAGTAGATCTATACTTATTAATAGTTTTTTTGTTTGTTCAAACGCGCTAATCTCTGGAACTACCAGTCCGATTTGAAAAATTCTTTTTGTATATTATAGCCAGATTCATGTGCAATAGTATAGGCTATCTAGCATTAAGCTATATTACTCAGCTAGCCTTAAATATGGATATTTGTTAAGCAAGTCAGAAGAAAAAGCACTCCCGAAATGATTTATCCGCGTACGCTGGTGTTATCATTAGGGATACGTAAATACAATGTTCTAGAAAAATATAGACCTTTACTTCGTCTAAAAAAAGTCCGCGATATCATATGTCTATTTCTTATACATAAGCCATAATTTGGTATTTTGTGACAAAAAAATAGAGTGTGAAAAATATAAAGTGATTTATGAGCGTTATTATTAGGCATGGCCTATTTATCCTTACGAATGAAAGTTACTTCATCACCAAGACAATTTTAAGAAGATAAACTTTATTCTTTATACCATGTTATTTGGACGCATAGTTTAAGAGATAATGTAAAATTAAAATAATTCAATACTTGGCTGGGCGTGCGAACGACGCTTAAACCCTAGCCGTTATAAAATGCTTGAACTGGGTTATGTCGCGCACCTCGGACACGTGATGACGCGGGTGAAACCGCGGGGCACAGCTAGTATTTAATAAATCAGAATACATAAACTCAAAATTATTATAAGCCCGCCCGAGAGACTGACTGTATATACCATATGCATTTGCCATCTTTATCGATAACTTTACAAACTGGTATATCAAAACTATCGCCAAGGACTCAGATCAATCCAAAGAGTAACTGTCCTATAAATCGCTCGACCGAACCGCATATAGGTCTGTTTTCACTTTGATTATTGATTAGTGCAGGTGATTAGTTCAGGTGCTTAGTGTTTAGGAGTAAACACGTGTGGACAGCGATTGATTAGTGCAAGTGATTAATAACCTGTGTAGTAAAGTGATTAGAAGCGTGTTCTATTTTTTTGCGAGTGGACTGCGAGTGTCACGCCCCGCGCACCCTTTCTTTCCCCTCACTCGCAGCATGCCTGCCACTAAACACGTTTGGACAGCAGTACTTAGTGTTTAGCGTTTAGCGTGGAACGCTCGCTTCTGTTAAAAAAAATGTCCGTACTTCCTGGTCGACTGCTAACAACTGAATTTACTAAACACAGCCACTAAACAGAATTGGACACTACTTACACTACACACCTGCACTAATCAACCGCAAAACTAATCACCTGCACTCGCACTAATCAAAGTGAAAACAGGCCTTATTGTATGAGGGCGAGCGGCCTGTGTTAGTAAATAAATCCGAAACAACAGGACCTTTACTATGAACCGTTATCATTGTAATTTTTAAGACTAAAAAGAAATAAATAGCACAGGTGAACGCCGGCGTATGGCTACTCCCCTCGGGACCCCCCGGTGACCTGTGTTGCTCTCAGTGTTGCCAAGTCTAGACCGTTATTTCAGTGCGACCACAATACTGCAATTTGAAGTGCTAAGGGAACGGTAAAAAGGTTCACCAAAATTAGTTTAGTACATGAAACTGAATAACTTCAAAAATTAACTAATTTTATACCATGATATGTTTTTTTATTTCGTTCATAAAACATGATAGCGGAAATAAGCTGAACCTACTTGCCTTTTGTGGGATTTTAATACAAAATTTATTAAATTCCTATAATCTCTGGAGAGGTGAGTCTACCCATAAATTTAAACAATTTTCCCCAAGAAACAGATCAGAAAGTTGTATTTTCGAGTATTTATGACCCTTATAAAAAATGTTTACTGTCATGAACAGTGTATTGCCCACACTTGTATGTATGTACTTACAAGGAGCACTAATTAAACAGCGAGTTTAGTCTGAAGTTTTATTGTGTTAAGACTCACCTTGCTTAACTTAAGTACCACTTGAACCACTCGATCACCAAAGTAGTACACGAGTGGAATTGCTAAATGACTCGAAACGTCATAATTTAAAATTAAAAATTTTGTACAACAGACTTCAATATATATTATTAAGGATAAGGATACTCAAAAACTGTTGGTCAGACCAAATTTATATGGGACCACATGAGAAGCACCAGCTTTCAAATCGAACAATCAAATCGAAAGAACCATCGAAATCGGTTCACGTAGAACAAATTTATGAGGTAAAACATATAAAAAACATACAGTCGAATTTAGTACCCCCTCCTTTTTGAAGTCGGTAGAAAATGGAATCAATTACCCCACCAAAAAGGAATATTATAACAAACCAACACACTTAATAAGAGATAAGAGCAGAGTGACTCGAGTCCAGTTGAACTCGAGTTGATATTATGTTTTTCATTCGAAAACATTATATTTTTTGATATTATTCGAGTCGTTCGAGTAAAATTGTAATCGAGTCGCATCACTAAGTCTTTTTCCGGTACGCAAGGTAAAGTGTCAAAGTGTTTTTAAAGTCTTTCTCGCTATCTGAAAATATTTTAGTGATCTTTTAGAATTTACTATTTCTAATAATATAATCAGGATGTTCACAAATCATTCAATTAGTTTCGTTTCATATTTCAGGACTATATATTGCAATAAACCATGGCTGATGTTGAAGTGTAAGTACTGTTGTTTTTTCATTATAAATATTAAAAAATCACCAATGATAGATTTCAGCTGTATTAAATATATTTTAAATTACTTTTATTAGATATAGATATACAGAAAATGTTAATTTCAACTAAGAAAAATATAGTCAACATAACCTCTTCACGTTCAGTTTTGAATTTGTATTTTGTTACTTTTATTTCGTATAATTTATATTCTTGTGACCACGACGTTTTACTAAATATATTTACAGCTTTTATTGCGTTACTCCTATGTTATTACAATTATATTAGATGTCATTTAGTAATAATGGTCAGTAAACATTACACATGTTTTTAACCATACATAATATGTATCATAATTTTTACAGTGAGGTTCCCGTCAACCCCGTACTTAGTGGGGGTGCTATGGACGTAAACACAGCCCTGCAAGAAGTGCTGAAGACTGCTCTTATCCATGGGGGTCTCGTGCACGGTCTTCATGAAGCTGCTAAAGCCCTTGATAAGTAAGTTTGTATAGATTAAAATAAATATTTATTAAATCAGAGAACACTGATACCAATTTTTATGTTAAAACTCGGATACTAATAATTTAGAAAAAATTATATAATAATAAATATCTTTATATATAAAAAGTATGTGTCACATTGTTTGTCTGCGATGAACTCTTTAAACTACTGAACTGATTTTAATGAAATTTTGCACACTGTGTTCAGTTTGGATAATTTTTATCCCGATAAGTGACCCTCAATTTTTTTTAGGAAATTAAATGGTCGTCGGAAAGGACAGAACAACGTCTGCCTGGGCAGCTAGTATAATAATAAAATGTTACATGGTAGATCCATACTACAGCTATATTATGGTTGTATTACAAATGGATCAGCTCGACCGGGGTAGGACCTCACTCTCAGAATAACAGCTTAATGTTGCTGTTTTGTATGGTGAGTGTAGAAATTTGGGGACCTTTTTCATTGGAAATGAGGCATTCAATGTTAGTCATCAGGGGTGACAACGCATCTGCTCTTGCATCTGATTCTTAATCAAAAAAGAAATGCTATCAGGTGGGCTTTGTGCTCGTTTGTTACCCCATTCTATACAAAAAAAATGTCTACAATAAAATGTCTCGCTTTTAGACAAACTTCCTAATATAAATTACCTTAAATTAACTTGCCTATTAATTATGACTAGACTCTAGAGCTCTAGACTATCCATTTAGAAAAACTAAGACTGTTTAAAAAAAATTTAAAACTCATTTCATTTACTGTTAATTAACTCTGACTGCAATCAAATATGTCAGCCCCCTGTGACCATGGCTGCTGTAATGTGCCCAAAACATCAGCTATTAGGAAGTTAAAGATAAATCTGGTAAATTCTATGCAATTAGTTTTATTCAATGTGGTATATTTGTGAAAATAAAAGATTTTTTATATATTATAATATAACAAAACCAAGATATAAAGCTGATCACATGTCAAATGGAAGGCCAACTGTAACCTATAGACTGTTTACCTATAGAATAATTGCTCAACCATTAATTTACCTAATATTAGATACACTGTAAGGCTGGACTACATCCGAAATGCCTCTGAATTCAGTCTGAATTGATAATTTGAATTCTGGTAAGCTGTCTCACACATATCTTAAATGTTCAGATAAATCAGTTGTTTTGTGTTTCTCAATTTGAGCACACGTCTTGGATATGGAAGAGAAAGTAACTCATTGCACTACTTTTAACTTTCAATAATAATAAAAGAGAGATGCAGACGAATACACTGGATTTGTCCTCTTAATGTGATCAGAGTAAGGGAAAGTCAGTTCTGCATTACAACTCCCATAAGTTGAAACATGTCTAGCCGTTACCGCTTGCAGTGTCAACTGAAATAATTCATAATCTGATGCCGGTGTGTGTGTGTGTGTGTGTGTGTGTGTGTGTGCTCGTGTATTCAATGTATATAAAAATGCAGGTTGCGAAATGATAATCTTAAATATTCCATTCCGGAATTCAGAATGCTCGTCAGAGTAATAGAGTAATTCTTACAGATTGTTCTGAGAAAATCATAATCTGAAAAATTCAGAATGTGTGTGGAGCATAATTAAATTGTATGCAATTCTAGACTTTCTTTATTAATAATGTGAATTCAGAAATTCAGAGAGGCATTCCGGATGTGTGTGTCCAGGCTTAAATCAAGTACATTAATGAATCAGAAACAAATATAAAAATTATGCAAATACAGAAAATGCACAAAAAAATGAAATATATTATGTGCCCATCTGTAATGCTTTAAGGTAATTTATTTGGGTTTTTATTGTTAAAAAAAATTCTCTAACTACTGGAACTATTAATATAAGTTTTAGAAAGACTGGGAGAATGGAATTGAAGTTAGGTCGCTGCTAGAAACCTCTGTTGTAAAATCAATCTGTAGGTATTGCCATAAACAAAAAATGATTTAGTTAGAAAGATTTTTAATCAAACACATAGTTTTATTACAACCAATGACATAGTTTTCTTGGTTTCATACTTGACTGGTTGGCTGATTGACTTTTGGCTAAGTACCATATCCTGTTTTGTTTTAATTGGTGGCTGTAGTTTCATTTTTGCACTGTGCTATTTGTTGCTTAAACTAAAACTAAATTTTGTGAACACAACTTCTTTGTCACATTATTTTTTTAAATGGTGATATAGTGCTGCTGAGTCCCTCAATTGGTGGTATAAAGAAACTGATTGGCATCTGTGAGCAGCATGAGATTGAGCAAGATTTTAAGTATAATTCAAACAAAAGTAAGGTGTCCTCAGTTGTACTTGATAGATTTGTTTTATAAAGGGTGACAAGTGATCTTGACGAGAAGGGGTGTGTGAAGTGTTAACAGTGAGGAGAGTGATATTTTGTCTACTGACTTCAAAAAGGATACAGTACTCAATTCGACTGTGTTTTTTTTATGTGTGTTACCTCATACCTCATAACTTTTTACTGAGTGAACCGATTTTGATGATTCTTTTTTTATTGAAAGCTGGTGCTTCACATGTGGTCCCATATTAATTTGATCAAGGTCTGACCAATAGTTTTTGAGTTATTCTTAATAATTTATAAAGTTGGTTGTACAAAATTTTTAATTATAAATTATTGTCAATCTTTCTTAACCGGTTCAGTGCGGGTACTTTTGTCTGTGGCGCTTGACATGCCCGGTGTGTCATGAAATATTTATTCGCCGCCACAGCTAAAAGTCGTCGAAAATTGGTGCCGCAAATTGGTTTCTATGTATGTGAATCCTCAAATAAAATTTTATTTTATTTAATTATTTAATATTTTTTACTTTAATTCACTGGCAATAGAATTACTTAAACATTCATTGGCTATGTGGCTGTTCTAGTCACATATCCAGTGGAAATATCTAATGTAACTCAAGCTACATTAGATTCACTCTGTTGCCTACATCAATGCCTACACATAGTACCACAATGTTTGTTTCTTCAAGCTTGTGGCCTCCCAAGTATGCTACAAATTAATAAAATGTACTGCTCGTTGGAATATTTCTGTGTATCATCATCATTATGACAGCCTGTCAAAGTCCACTGCTGAACATAGGCCTCCTCCATGGATTGCCATGGAAGTGGGTTGACAACTGCAGTTTTTAGTATATTGAGCTGTTTTAGCGGAAGATATAAGGTCTATCAGGTTCTATAAAAAGATTTATATGATTAGGTTATTTATTATATATAATTGGGTTTATTATTAAAGCTAATAATATTTTGCAACAGGAGGCAAGCAGTCCTTTGTGTACTAGCTGAGAACTGTGATGAGGCTGCATACAAGAAGCTTGTACAGGCTCTTTGCAATGAGCATCAAATTCCACTTGTCAAGGTAAATTATTTTAATACAAATTGCTATTATAACTATATCTAATCTAATAATGATGATCTCTATACCAAATTTTGGTCACTGCGGTTGGTCAGGGTTATAGCGCGCGAGTGTATGTGCTAGCACAGACACACTCACTCAAAAGTCCGATGAGGACGGCAATCTGACACGACTGACTTTTGGAGGCACGGAGGTGAAATACTCAATTTCCTGACTCATGGCTTCTGACAATTTCTTGACAGAAAAATACAATAACTGATTTTGGTTTGTGTTTGATGATATGGACCAGTTGTGCTTACGATTATTAGACCAACGAAGTAGTTGATATACCTACTAGTAATATCATAGATCTCCATATCTTTATTTTTCCATAAAAATGACTTAAAGATCCCAGATTTAGCGGGCAAAAGACAGCTCTCTTTTATTCTTTTCTCTAATTCTTTATACAAATTCTTAGCCTCTGACAATATTTCTTTAGAGTAAAGTGATGGTGCCAATAGAGCCGAGGAAAGGAAACAAATGTAACCAACTGCAGTGAGAAGCAGGCTGTGTCTATTGGCAGTGAGATATATGCACCAACCAGTTATTTTAATAAAAGCATGTGAATTTTACCAACATTTGGCCAATTTCAAATAATGGCAAAATCCACTGTTGGCTGCAGTCTGTCTGTTTAGACTGACTTCACTGTTCTCGTCCACACAACCAGTTCCAACTGTCACTTGGGTTTGAGCATCTAATGGCTTGCAAATAGTTGTAAACCAATAGGACTAAAACACCCAAAGATGACATTTGCTTTCATGAACTTTTCGTATGTAACCTTGACAAATAGCAATTATTTGATAAGTAATGAAAAACTATTATTATCAAAAAGCAGAAAAAAGTTCAAATTTTGTAATTCACAATTATTGTCATGATTGATTTCAAATTTCAATATAAAATAAAATAACACAGTGTACTCACAAATCTAAATTACATCTAAAATGTTAAATGTTATTTAATATTTTTATTTTAACATGCATACATTAACAAATGTTACTTATCAATATCACTAAATGGATAGATAAGCATATGAACCAAATTTGTAGGATCACTTCGTAATGGAACTTTTATAACAGCAACACTGCTTATCGTGGTGTAACACTAGTCAGCGCCACAAGAAAAGAAACAATTTTACAGATTGAATGACTGAAGGAATCCCCTAATACTTTGTCTGTGACTAACTTTATACTGCACAAGCCAGCGGGGATTTCAAGTTGTACAATCATCTAACTCTTTATTTTACAGATTTTATCTTTTAAATAACAATCACTATGTTCATTGTATTGAAAAACTGCATACGCTCCGCACGAGCCTCCTAGACCAATGTCGCGGTAGGCCTAAGGAGCGCAGAGTAAATTGTGTGCCCCTATGGTGGCTTGCATCATGCAGAGTCAACTTTCCTAGCACTCAAACATTTGTATTTAAATTTTTTATTAAAAGATTGAAAGATAATTTCCATTTCTAATAAGCAATCAAATCTAAAATCTTCGGCAGGTTGATAACAACAAAAAACTTGGTGAATGGGCAGGTTTATGCAAAATTGACAAAGATGGCAAGGCACGAAAGATTGTTGGATGCTCATGTGTGGTAATCAAAGTAAGTATAAATTATACACAATTTTTTTTAATGTATCATCTTGATTATTTTATTATCACTAAATCATCTTGATGAAAGAATTTGTTAATGAATAAATTAATAATGTCAAGAATACAACTGGCACAAGAAACCATTTTAGCTTTTTTTTTTAAGAAGTATAGATAAAAAGTATTTTGTGTTGTTTTAGCAGATGTTAGTCCCTTAAGTAAAATATATCATTCAAATACATCAAATCGGTAAATTATCACAATTTTGGCTTCTTCAGAAAAAAATAAGATATAAATTTTATGTTTAAGAAAGTTTTGGTGCTGAGGGACACTGGTTTGAATCCTGGAAGGAACCAGTATTTATGTGGCCTACAAATAATTGTTCTGGGTCTGGATGTTTGTCATTGTGCAATTTATATATGCATACTACCTTCAAGATACAGGAGAAAATCCTAATGAGGATATTGTAGACTAGAGAGTTGTATGTACCTTCAACACAAAAGCTCTACTTTTAATTCTATTTGCACATGTTTTTTGTGTACTTAGGTTAAAATTTTTGGGCTCGTATTACTCATATACGTTACGTAAAATTATCAGAAAATATATATTAATGGTAATTAAGATTATTCCTCATCTAAGACTACATGCGCTTAGCACGAACACTCACGACTATGCATTTGTCGCTTGTGATAAACAATTCGGCGCTATATAAACTTGTGTGACCCTATGGTGCCACACCAGTGTGTGAGCAACTTTCCTATCACTCAGACATTAAATCAAAGAGCTAGAGTGTTTATACATGCTTAGTCAAGTTAGTCAATAATGTGTGTAATGTTAACACTAATCACATTGTTGACTTCATTTTCATACTTTTCTGTTAGCCTTGACGATTGTAGAAAATGAACTTAGCTTTGCCAGCATAAACACTTTCTAATATTATTTTAAAGGTCTACTTCCAATTATTAATTTGCATTCATAAGTATTATGGTCATTATGCAATATGACGCTCGAAGAAAACGTAATTACGTTTTTCACATGTTAATATTAAAATAATTTACTTTTTGCAGGATTTCGGTGAGGAGACGCCAGCGTTGGATGTGCTTAAAGATTATCTCAAGTCCTCAAGCTAATCCTTAGGTGTAATGGTAAAATAAAAACCAAAAAAATATCTGTTCTGCTTTTTATTTTATATTTTAAATATAATAATTAAGCTACCAATTATAGAATTACTATTTGAGTTAAGTTTATTATATTAAAAATTTTATTCAGTTTTATTTAGTTTGTCGAACTGGTCGCAAATCTTCTTGTGTTTCGGCCAGTGTTGTACTTGGCATTCCCTGAAAATATTTTTAATCTTGAAAAATGAGGTGATATTTTATAATTTCTACTCTTTCCACTGTTACACCACACCCTAATAAGAACCACAAACTAATAAGAAGTGCTAGCGTAATTCTATACAGATTGAACTAGTGATAGCAAGAAGCTATTAAAATATCGCTTTAAAAATAAAATATTACCGTTTTTTTTTTGTTTATTGTAACTAAATAACAAAAGTGCATTATCGACGAATTATGGGAAAAGCATACCACCAGGTGGGATTGTGGTCAAGCACCGACTTATAATAGTTTAACAAAAAGCATAAGATGTACAAAGTATTTCATAATAATATGATATTACGTTTTCTATTAACATTTAGTTTTAATTTATAAGAATAAAAATAATCTTGTTTATGGTAGTAAGTCCATGATGCCACCGCCGCCATGTTGTTTATTAAACACAACGAGACGCCTGTGTTAATCACTACTTTTCTGTTTGCTGTTTTTTTTTTCATTTTTAATATGTTTAATAGAGTACACTTTTTTTTATAGGGTAAAGGTGACAAACGAGCACACAATCCACCTGATGGTAAGTGGTTGCTGTGGCCCATAGACATCTACATCTATCTTCGATTAAGAATCAAAATGCAGATGCGTTGACACCCGTGAGGACTAAGTTCTCTACACTCACCATACGAAACACAGCAGTGCTAAACTGCTATTTTACGCTGGTATTCTGTGAGAGCGTGGTCCTTCCCCGGTCGAGCCGACCCATTCGTGCTACAACTATACTACTAATATAGCTGCAGCATGGCTCTACCACGTATACACTATATTCTTCCGTCTTAAAAATTGATTGCATAGAACTGAACTAAACATGCCGAAGGGAATGGTGTTGAAAGGACTATCAATGGCGTTGTGGTTCGCCTGCGTGATTATTTTGAAAGGGACCCCCTTTGCCATTGGAAAGTGTGCGTGAGCGTGTTGCAAGAGTACTAGTAATCTGGCGAAAGTATTGAAGAAAATAGGGATTCGCATTTAAAAAATCGCACAAAAGAAAAGTATTGATGGAACGCACAGACATTTTTCTAGTGCGGTGTAACTTTGAGGGAAGCTAAGCTAATTGAGAACTGGGGAAACGTATTTATAGATAAAACGTGGCTCAGAAGTGTTTGGAAATGGTTTGAAGATTTATTGAGCAAGCTGGAGGAACCATCTGTGATTATTATGAATAACGCACCATATCACTCCCGGATAATAAATAAAATGCCTACTCAAGCCAACAAAAAATCGTACATTATAAACTGGCTTGGTACGCTTCGATTTTCGATTTCCAAAATAATGCCCACCAAATTTATGTTAAACTTTCTACATAGAATTGTAATATGTACTTACCCTAAATTTTTTAAAATAATAATAAACAATCTTGCTAGGTTTTTCGTGTACTCCGAAAGGATTACAATCGTGAGCGTATGTATGTATGTAATAATTAAGAATTGCACAAAAAATCGGCGAGTTTGATTTATCGCCTTACCACAACCCTAAAATTGATTTCTGGCTGATGTGACCTTGTCAGTAAACATGACGAGTTTGAAGTTACATTCGCAGACGCTAGGCCAAAGTTAAGTCGACTACTCCGACTCTGTGTGAGCTGTCTAGAATACAACATAGTGGAAGCCAGTATAGTAGATAAAGCGTATAATTGCTCCAGCGCCCAATATTATTCTACGATGATATCAGTGAGACTTGCCCAGCAATTGGAAAAAAAATGAAAACAGATTAGGATGAAACACCTCATTTGTTTTGATAAAAATTATTGATTTTTTAATATTGGTAATATTTGATGCCAATACCATAAATAAAATTAAAAATAACTGCATAATGTTCAAACACCAATTTTAAAACTTACCTTCCACAATACCATTCAGTTTTACAACGAGAACATTTTTTGCTGGCTTTATCGCCGCAATCCGCACATTTAGCGCCACCATTATCGAGCGCTAGAGCTACATCGCTCGCATACGAATCTAGTAGCTTTTTAGCTATGCTGTGAGACTCCCCGGTGTCATCATTACAGCAATGGTTTAAATGAATCTTCGCGAGTTTCTTTATACGCTTGTGTATTTGGCGCAGTAAACTTTCCTTTATCTGCAGTAAAGTATAAAATTTTAATAAAAGGAAATACTTCGCAACTACAAAGCCTATTATCATATCCCAAAATCAATACAGTCGATTTTATATTCGGTGTTCATAAAAAGGTGCGCCGTAACTCCGGAACACTAATGTGCACCAAGCGCAGTATCCTCTTAAGGTACAAGTCTGTGTTTATACTTTGCACTACTTTCTAGACGGTTTATATTTTCACCTGTCTAACAAATCACCACATCAGCTCAACGGTGATGCCTCGTCTGCGGCAGGCAGCAGAGGAGAGGCCATGCTTTCCTCTGCAGTGCACGCTATCATCATGTCAGAAAATTAAAAAAAAATCGAGGACATGTCAAAAGCCACCATTCGTGCTAAATTTATTCTTGAAATCTTAGGAATAATAGCCCCTGCTGGGAGGCGTGTGTAAGAAGATTGGCTCTTTACAATTTTCAAATTTAAAAGTATTTTACCTGTGGTATAACTTCAATAGCTGCGCATCCGGGGTTTTTAACGCCATTGCATCGCTTGTTTCCATAGGAATAATCGCCCAATGCCATTTGACAAAGCAACGTCTTTAATTCACCCAGCACCGGGATTTCATCTATCATCTCGTCCGACATTTTGGCTTGCAGCTGTTGAGACGAAACAAACAGTACAGAGTAATAATTGTAGTAGTAACTTTACGCATGATATTTTTCATAAAAGTGGTGGAAAACGAGCATGCAGTTCAGCATTCGGAGCAGAGCAGTAGTCGGCCGCCGCCCCAAAACAACTACAACATCAGAGGAATTGCAGGTGCTGGCCTTATACCACATTTAGAAAAAAATATGGGGTTAGATGGATTATGAAAGAAGTGATGGGTGGCTAGTACATCGCTTACACAATCACAAGCCGAATATCCAACTAATCACCTTTTACTACATGCTAGGCAAGTACGAGGGTGCGTTTTTAAGTTCGCGGAATGGAGGGTTTTCAATATCTTATTCACCTGCTACCCTAATACATTTTTCGGATCTTTCAATTAACTTATGTATACCCACAAAAAAAGTTATTTGTCTTTGTCTATAAATACGCCGCAACTGCTTCCTTCACTTCTTCATCACTTAAAAACTTTTTCCCACGAAGTTTTTAAGTTTGGAAATAATAATCACTGGGGGCCAGGTCAGGACTACAGGCTGGGTGTGGCAAAATTTCGAAGCCCACCTGCAGGACAGCCATCGCAACATGGCACTTGTGAACAGCGCGTTGTGCAGAAGAAGGATTCCTTTGGTCAATTTTCCCCTTCTTTTCTCCTTTATGGCTTCCTTCAATTGTTCTACGATTGGAGCGTAGTAATTTCCGGTTATGGAGACACCTTTATTTTTATAATTAATCAATAGGATTCCTTCTGAGTCCCAAAAGACTGTCGCCATGATTTTCCCAGCCGATTGTGCCACCTTAAATTTCCAGGTGTGCCTTTTTTGTGCCACTGCATAGTTTTGTTTGGACTCAGGTTTTGTCACCAGTAACAATTCGAGCCAACACTCCATCTTTGTCTACCATACAGAGGTCCAAAATGCACGAGAACACTCCACTCGCTGTTGCTTTTGAGGCGGCGTGAGCATTCTAGGCACCCATCTTGCGCTGACTTTAGTCATGCCAAGATAGTCATGAAGAATTTTGCGAGCAAAATATTTGCAACCATTTCTGCGAGCTGTTTTTTCTTTAGGCGGGCATCTTCTAATATTAATTTTTCGACTTTTTGCATAATTTCCGACGTGCTCCCCTCGATCGGCCTTCCTGGCCGTGGGTCGTCATCAAGTGACTCTCTGCATTGTTTAAAAAGGATATGCCACTTGTAAACCATAGTTTTACTTGGACAAGAGTCTCCGTAAACGGATGATATCTCTTCCAGTATAGTCTGAACTGATTTTTCGCGCTTGGTAAGGAACTTTATAACGGCATGGAACTCGATTTTCTCCATATTTCACAATTTCTTCCCGATTGACTTGTTTGATTGACGATAACTCAAAGACTAATGATCTAATTACTATAAAACCCGGTATTTATATAAATAATTAGTTGCTCAATTAGCACGTAATTCAGCGACGTCCCCACTTATTACCTACTACGGCCTACGGCCACTACCTTGCCGTCTAATGCCCGTATACCGCAATTGATTATGACATTAAATTGGACCCATTTACGCAAACAGGAACCAACCCACAGTTTGAGTGAAATTGAGTTTGGTGCATAGATGGCGCTCAAATAACGCTTTCTATCTTCTCAAAAAAATGTAGTTTTGCGACGACTAAAAACAGAGATACAACACAACAACATACTAACGGAACCAACCCACTTTGGCCAACTAAAAAAATCAGAAAAGAACTGCTGCGTGGTTCACTATTCAGTATCGAATTTAAACATTAAAAAGACCCATGCCACTTGATTGATACCTTTAGGACCTAAGTATTTTCATAATGCAAAGAAGAATCAAAATTGGTTGGTTCTATTTAAAACTTTTTGTGCCAAACGGAGCCACGTAACTTGGGTTCTTGTTTGTATAATGAAAATGCTTAGGTCCTGAAGGTTCCAAGTGGCATGGTTCTTTTAATCATTCTAATTCGGCACTGTATAGTGAACCATACAGCATTGTTTTATTTCTTTTTTTTTTTAAGTTGGCAAAATTGGGTTGGTTCCACAAGTGATAGTGTTTTATTCTCTGTTCTTAGTTGTCGGAACGCTGCAAGTGTATATAAGAGATTTTTTAACTACTTCTTAACTTAGGTAACTTGGTACCTAAACATTAATAATTTGTTTTATATCCTAAAAAAGTAGTCAACTCTGATTCGAAATTATTATTTTGATGATATATTATTGAGTGAACGGCAGGATCGGGAAGGGACGCTCTAGACGAAGGTTTATCGACCAAATCGGCGATACATTGAAAATGGGCCAGACTAGGAGTACACCTTAACCTACGAGCGTGTATGCGTAGATATATGGATGTGAAGGAGCTGAGAGAGGTGTGTCAGGATCTTGCCAAATGGAAGTCCGTGGTCTCTGCCTACCTCTCTGGGTGACAGACGTGAGTGTTTGTGTGTGAGACACATCTTTGTAATTAAAAAACATTCTTGCATCTTAAATTATGAAGGTTTAAACTACAGGTTACAAGTAGGTTACAACTTAACCATTTTATTATACAGGGTGGCCCATAAGTCCCTTGAAATGTAAAAAAATAATGAAAAAAAAACTAATGACATTATGAAAAAGGTTTTTATTTTGTCATAATCCTTATAAAATGGGAATTATTTTTTGAAAATTACATCATCTAAATGTAATCCGTTACGATCGCGGCACTCCTGTAAGCGACGTTTAAAATTATCCATCACTGCGTGGCAAGTAAGCTCTGTAATGTTTGCCATTTCTCTTTGGATATTTTCTTTCAGGACGTCAATTGTCCGCGGGTTGGTTTCGTACACTTTAGTCTTAAGATAACCCCATAAGAAAAAGTCCATTGGGGTCAGATCTGGACTTCGTGGTGGCCAAGGAATATCTCCTCTTCGAGAGATCACTTTATTAGGGAAAAGTTGACGGACGACCGGCATAGCGACGTTAGAGGTATGGGCAGTTGCTCCATCTTGTTGAAACCAGGTCCGCGTATTGAAGCCTGGAAAATTCTGCAACTCTGGTGTAAAAAAGTCCTGGATCATAGCTACATACCGTTGTGAAGTAACAGTAAGCGCGCGGCCTCTGCCGTCCTCAAAAAAGTAAGGGCCTTTAATGCCATGCGCTGACATAGCCGCCCAAACTGTCACTTTAGGGCTATGTAAGGGCTTTTGATATTTGCGATTTGGATTTTCGCAACTCCAGTAGCGACAATTTTGCTTATTGACATGGCCGTTGATGTGAAAGTGAGCCTCATCAGAGAATAACACGTTATTAAACGAAGTAAAGCGGTTCAACATTTCATTTGCGAAATTTAGTCTGTGGATAGTGTCAGTATCTTTTAATTCCTGTACTAACTGAATCTTGTACGGGTGAAGATGTAAATCTTTCTTTAAAATTCACTGTAACGATGTTCTGGGTAAGTTTAATGCACTGGAACGCTTACGAGTAGACTGGGTAGGATTTTCACGAATTGAGTGTTTCACTACATCGATGTTTTCTTCCGTCCGTGATGTCCTTGGTCGACCTGACCGTTGTTTATCCAACGTCGAACCACTCTCTTCGAACTTAATAACCCAGTTCTTAATCGTTTGAACACTTGGAATGTCTTTAAAGTTGCGTAAATTCTGATATTCTCGAAATTTACGCCGCGCAATGGTAGCCGAATCATTGTTTCGATAAAACTCGCGCACACAAAATGCACGGTCCGCACCGGTGAAACGCTCCATGGCGACTGAATTCCCAGAAACCGTCGGTACTCCCCCGCACCGCGCGCGCCACTCATGCGCGCCTTTTGTATTTTATTCGAAATTTACATTTCTAACGACTTATGGGCCACCTTGTATAATATGTCAGAAGATAACATTTTGCGTTCTTCTGCAGCTTTGCATGTTACTGATGACGAACCGTTTTTGTCTGGAAAAAGGTGCTTAGTTCTAGCTTCGACAATTAAAAATTAAAAACAATCAGGTGGAAAAAGCATTAGCCCTCCATCATATTGCCACTTAACGCCTAGACCTCCTGTATTACATGTACGGGAATGGAAATGTAGTTTCAAATTAAAATGTTGTTAAAATATTGGGGAAATAAGTATACAGCCACCTCCCTATTCTGTACTTACACCTAGAGTGTCGCAATCGCTTGCTAGCATGTTACATAAGTGATGGTTAACAATGCATGAACATTTCTTTATCTAATGACTAAACGTAGTGATTATATTCTCTTTGCCAATGACAACGAGCTAACTAAAATCGGTGCGCTGCCTTACAAAAGTTCAAAAAGAAGCATCGAATCACTAGAGTGTCTTTTCCTTCAATCTCTGAAATCACATGATTCAATAAAAAAAAGTATCCCAAACACTGTACATCTTCTCCATTGCGACCGATGTCACCAGAGACAACTGAATTATTAAATATTCTACCTGAATCTCTTGATAATGATAAAATAATCATGATAAAAATGCTGCACAAAATTCACCGGTTTCGCCCGACGCATCCTGTAGAAAATCGAAACACTGGCTACTTTACGTCTGTGTTCGAGGCTGGTAAGATTGGTTTTAACCCAATTCGGGGCATCAATAAGCATCTTAGCACGCCTTTCCATCGAGTCCAAAGCTGCTAGTTGGCATTTTGCAGCACCAGCCCAGAATCAAACATTACATACATGTTAGTACACGAAAGTGATATTGTACAAATTGACTCTATCGTTCCCAAAAATTAAAACCAATTCGAGGAATAAAGAATACCTATCAAATCTCTTGGACGAAGGGGGAAGACAATTTCATATTATTAAGACGACTTAGCTGTACAAAATGTGATTGGGATTGTTCTCATTCTAGAATAGGAAAGATGAAGAATCTCTTCCTTGCCCTAGTCCTGAAATCCCACATAAATTATCAGAAAAAACTGTGATATTAACTGAAGAACGCAACATATTTAGATCTCAAATAACAGCTGTAGCTTCTAACCGGGAATTGATCGAAGGCAACTGGGCTGTGATTAAATTTGTTTGCAAAAAGACAGAAGTATTTTATATTGGTCAAATTGTCACTGCACTGGATTCTAAGTATTTGATAGTTTTTTTTTTGAGAAATATGGAGTCTAGAGATAAGGAGAACCATCTCTGTGTATGAATAAGTGTCCGTAAAAACGCGTCCATAAGGGTAGCGCTTCGGTAGCATAGGAAAAAAAAGCGCCATAAATAATTAGAATAAGATGAAGAAATAAATAAGGAGTTAAATACTGTATGAATATACACTTTGCATTTATTGAATAATTTTAAATTCGATTTCTTAATCAGGTTGACGTAAATTAAATAAATAATTCAAAATTGAACACACAGTAAGTCAGAAAAAAGACAAATGCTTTTTTGTAGTTTTTAATTTACGTCCACTTGGACAAATTTTCACAATACAAGTTTTTCCATTATTGTTCAATTATTTTATAACGTTTTATAACTATCACCACAATAAAAGTATATATAAAAATCACTAATAATTATTTAAAAAAATAGTCACCCTAAAAAAATCACGTTTTCTCACAACAGTTTCTTGATTATATTTACTTAATTATTTTAGACTGCGTAAATAGTTGAAGTTTTGTATACTGTAATTTTACTAACTACTCTAGTCATGAAATTTTTTAAATATTTGAACTCAGCACACTTCACTCCGTCTACAACAGCTATGTTCATATCGTAGTTTTTCAGACGCTAGCGCTATTGTGGTTTTGGAACCTCTATTTTCAGTATACAGTTGAACACTTGTTAAGCTTTCCTCCTATAATATGAGATGGTTCTCCTTACCTTTATACTCCATGTTGAGAAACAAAGTGTGATATTCAATGAATAAGGTTATTTGCAGTGCTTGATTTTTTCTAAGTATGATTAAGTTATTACTACTTTTTATTAGTTTATTATGGTTTCACGTTTATGATCATTTTAATAGTCTCAGATACTTTATTTTGTAAGAATTTTTCAGTTATATGCTAACTAAATAATGTTGATTAATAATAATTTAATTACGATGTTCCTATAAAACTTATTTTTAATATTTATAATTAACATAATGTTAATTAAGCGTAATTACATACTCAAAAAACACTGAATGTAAATAAAAACCAAACTGATTAGATGCATAAATATAATAATTAAAAACTAACTGTAAAAATTATGTGTCCAAAAATGAGCAACATTTACGCGTACGCGCGCTTCTCTGTGTGTGTTTCAATTCTGGTGTTTGCCGACCGAGCCGAGAGTCCCTTACGAATGTGTGCGTGCGTAGTAAAATAGTAGGCGTTAAATATTTATGAATGACAGTTAAAATAATGCATTACCACGCATTCTGAATATAAAAGGAACACAATGTTTGAGATTTTTTTTTAATTAATTTTTCTTCACCATTCGCCTATATTTCTTATTCTGAACCTACTCTACAAATTTGGGCGTATCTTGCAAAATAGCCCTGTATACATGACCGTTTAGTGGCAGAGTAAGAATATTCATTACCCCACATTTCATCCCGTGTGTGTCGTAAAAGACGACAGAGGAAAACTGAAATAAGAGATAGGCAGGCAGCTGTATCCTCTTAATAACAACTAAAAATAATAAAACGAACTGCCGTTGCCAACCCGCCTGTCAAGCGTGGCAACTTTGGCAAAACCTCCGCTGTGAAGCAATCTATGGGGGAGGCCTATGTTCAGCAGTGGACTATTATAGACTGTGGTGGATGGATGATTGATGTGATATACATACGCGACAGAACGACGTGCGTCGGCATTCTTCAATCGTATAATAGTGTTCAAGACGTGGTTCTAATAGCAGTTGACGCAAGCACAACCAAAGCTGCGCCTCGCTTCGATGCATATGCGACAAATCTTCAGAATTTGGTCTCGACCAACGCCCAACTGAATTACGAAATTAACATGAGTTCATTGTTAGGTACTATGAAAAGTAACATACATACCAACGGTTCGCTGTAGGGTTATTGGTATTTATAACTTTAGACCAAAAGCACAAATTCAAACCTAATTTACTCAATTCAACATTATGATTTCTTATATTTACGCGAACACTACACATTGAATAAAACTATTTTTACGGATTCTATCGCGTTTAATTAAGTTATTTTATATTCCCGACGTTTCGGTTGCTTTCCAGCAACCGTCCCCAGTCCCGCGTGACCACCGTGGTCACGCGGGACTGGGGACGGTTGCTGGAAAGCAACCGAAACGTCGGGAATATAAAATAACTTAATTAAACGCGATAGAATCCGTAAAAATAGTTTTATTCAATCAATTCAACATTATTATTGTTATATAAGCCTCGTCGTGTACTCACATTTAAACATCTGTAGTTCACCATTTTCGTTAAACTTTTTCCAAGGTTCCATTTGTATCAGTTGACAGAGAATAGAAGGTACGTCATTGCTTTTATAGATATTAATTGCAATAGACGCTCCCAAGCCTGCAGCTTCCATGTGTTCTGCCAGATAGCTTGAAAATGCAATACTGTGTTAACTTAACAATAACTTAAAATAAATTTTATGATTAAACATCTTTAGGTAGGTGGTTTAAGATTATTTTTTAATTATATAAAAAATAAAAAAGAGCTAATGTTGACTTCGCCGCGGTAGCGCAGTGGTTATGCGTTTGCCTATGCCGCCGTAGGGTTCGAATCCCATACGGAAAAAGTTCGTTGTCATGTCTGTATGGCCTACAAATAACTGTTTCGGGTCTGGATGTGTGTATAATGTAAAACGCCTCCAAAATACGGCAGGAAATCCTACATTTGGTTAATGTTTTCTTTTTTTTTTAATAAAAAAAGTAATTTGTAATTTTTACGTAGGTATTTAAAAGAAACTTACCGAACAATAGAGATGCACCTCATGCTTATGTCAAACTGAAGGTCTTGTTTCTGCCTTTCAAGTTCTTCTACAACCTTTTCAAAATCCAGTTCTTTTACAGGAACAGGCTTTAAATATCCATTGCTAATGAAAAGTGTGAGAAATAGTTCGTTAAACTTCAATAAATTTTCGTTATTTTAATTTTTTCACCATTATTCAAACTTTCAAAGTATAATTTCAACTAGAATTAATATTTTAGCGTGTTTATCACGTGTATTTATACAAATAAATAAAATTGAAATGTCTGTTTGTAATGTCAAAATAACAGCTTTTTACAAATTGCATATAAAAGTATATACGGTACCTATAACAGGAACACAATTTTCAAAATTTTAGTCTGTCTGTCTGTCTGTTTGTTCCGGCTAATCTCCGAAACGGCTGGACCGATTTTGACGGGACTTTCACTGGTAGGTAGCTCATGTTATAAGGAGTAACTTAGGTCACTTATATTTTTAAAAATTTAGGGCTCCGCGCAACAAAATTAAAACGCTCAATTACACGCGAGCGAAGTCGCGAGGGACAGCTAGTATTTAAATATTAGTTTATTTAAATTCTATAGTCAGGATTTATTTCAAGTCTTGTTATTCGCTGAAATTGTAAAGATACTCCGGCTCATTGTTTAAATTCGGAACAGCGCAGCGAATACTCACAGAAGGATAGTTTATTTTATTTATGAATATAAGTAACACACTTAGTTGTCAATTTAAAAATTTAGATCGCTTTCAGAATAGTACAATCTAAAATTCCAATTAAACTCGTGAGATATAATGCTAAGAAAATGAGATTTATTTACCATTTAATTGCAGATTCCCTAGACATATTTGGCACCGAACGCCGTTTGCAAGCAACAAAGATATAGCATTTAGGTTTATGTATGTATACTTTATCAGTCCAAAAACAGTCCACCGCTGGACATAGGTCTCTACTTAGACTAGGACTGGCAATTTCAGTTACCAGATAGCTTGCACCTTTGATCTTTGATGCTATTCCTCGTCGGCGGTATAACTTTAAATCTGGCTTATACAGGGTTATTTTGAAATAACCGGCCACACTTGCAGAAAAGGTTCAGAATAAGTAATATAGGCAAACGGTGAAGAAAAATTAATTAAAAAAAATCTCGAACATTCTGTCCTTTTTATCTTTTAAATCAAAATGCATGGTAATGCATTTTTTTATCTCATTTTAGTTTAGTGCGCACGCACACGTTCGTAATGGTAAATGGTATTTTCAAAAACTGCAATTAACGGTATATCATTGTTTATATGTTTGAACTTAAGTGTAAAATTTGACTACTCTTTGCTAAATAACCCAGTATACTGTTAGGTGTAAAAGATTTTACGAAGAGCACCCATTTAATGAAATGGTTGATTATTACATTACACGTTTGCAACCGCCCCCAGACGGAAACGTCACAGGTATATTAATACTCACTTGATCAGAACAATTAAAGCGGTTAGTTGATCAACAGCGTACTGCAAGAGATCAATGACAACGTCACTAATGCTTTGAACTCCATCTTCGTGAAATAATACGGTCTCCAACAGGCCAACTGCTGCGGCCTCGTGGTATAGCTAAGGACATTAATAGAAATGTATAATTTTATGATGTTGAAACAAAATCGGCGCACATTAGGTACTATGGCGGCTCAGTGGCTTAACAATCAATTGAGCAGTGAATTAGAAATGAATTGTAGCGCTCCGGGCCGCGGGTTCGGATCCCGCTCGGAACAAGTATTTGTATGGCCTACAAAAATTCCGGATCTGGATGTTTGACCTTGTGAAATTTATGTATGTAAACTGCCCCCAAGTTCAGGATAAAATCTTATCCTGTATCGTGGGGGTAACGTTTTCAATAGAAATTTAAGAAACTTTAAATTATACGAGCAGGTATTTTAAATTTGATATTTTTCATTAACAATAAGGAGAACAAAAATAAGAGCATTCATCGCCTTGTATGTTTTTCATGTGCAATTTATGTATGTAAAGTGTAAACTGCCTTGACGATACCAGAGAAAAGTGGTAAAATTAAAAACCAACTTCAATATAAATAAAATGAGAACATCATCAATGTATTCGAAGTCAACTAAATACGCATTAATAAGGATAACACAAAAACTAGGTACTGGTTAGATCTTGATGAAATTTATATGAGGCAACATGAGAAGTACCAGATTTCATATAAAAAAATACATTAGAATTAAGAACTTCCTCCTTTTTTGAAGTCGGTTGAAAATACTAATGTAGGGGTATTTTTTCATTTGTGGGTAGTTTTGTAATTTTTAAAACAGCCCATTAAGAGGCTGTTTTTCAGTGCTGTCAGCATGGCATTGAAGTAATATGTGTACGTAAGTACATTATACTTGAATGACTGAACGTTACCTTAACATGTTTTTAAATCCCTTATTGGTCAATTTCGGTAGTTCTATGGAAGAGGAGGCAAACGAGCATGCGGCTCACCTGATGATAAGTGATCACCGACGCACATGAACTTCTGTAACACCAGGGGAATCGCATGTGCGTTGCCAGCCGTTTAGTTTAAACTTTAGAGAGTAGTAGAGGCTCTTTTCTTGAAGGGCCCTAAGTCGTATCGTTCCGGAAAAGCTACTGTGCAATCCACAGTCTTCCAGGATTATGAAAATCACAATTTTATGACTTGCTTTCAAATAGTGAAAAGACCAATTTGGAATCGCTAGGGCTTAAAAAGTTCTATTTGCAATTAAATCGAGTTCTGAATAAACCCGATATCTATTAGATAAAAATGTATCGCAGCTATTGACTCATAGACTTTCAACAGAAAGAAAAAACCGCATCGAAATCAGTTCAGTAATGATTACCAGACCAAAATACAAATGGAAAAATGTTCCACAAAATAGTATAATAAAATAAGTTGACGCCTCCGTGGCGTGGCGTGGCCGTGGCGTGGCCTCCAAATAATTGTTCCGGGTCTGGATGTTTATTATTGTGCAATTTATGTTTGTAAACTGCCTCTACTGTGCGTGTAACATGTTTTTAAAGATATAAAAAAAGGAAAAAAGTATAAAGTAAGTTAAATAATTTACCACCATATATATCCCGAAAGTGTAAGCTGGTGCTGGCTCCAATTTTAAGATTTGAGGATATATTTTCAAACGCCATACTTGAATACAAATTGCCTCGTGAATGAGTACAGGCAACTATAAAGAAAAAAACATAATTATTTAAAGCATAATTACGTTACACGTACGGCCTATAAAAAGTTCACAGCTGCACACAGGCTTCTTACACAAATTGCCTCATTGAAGGAATATTTGCCGCTCTTGGCAGTAGAGTTGGCAACCGTTAATTTTAAGTTGATATAATTATTATAAGGAAGACGCTGCTGCCCATCTCCCGGTTTGTTCCCTCTGTTGCCTCTTACGCGACAACCACGGGACGATTTCGGGTAGTGGATATTCTTACACCGCCACTATACAAACAAATAATTTGAATTTCGAACGATTTTGTATATTATGCTATAGTCAAAACTCATAACTGTTTAGAACCAAGACCTTTTTATACGTGGTAGAGCCATGCTGCAGCTATATTAGTAGCATAGTTGTAGCACGAATGGGTCGGCTCGACCGGGAAGGACCACGCTCTCACAGAATACCAGCGTAAAATATCAGTTTAGCACTGCTGTGTTTCGTATGGTGAGTGTAGAGAGAACCGGAGACCTATTTTACTGGTAAAGAGGCATTCCATCTTAGTCCTCACGGGTGAAAACGCATCTGCATTTTGATTCGCAAACGAGGGTAAATGTAGATGTCTATGGGCCACAGCAACCACTTACCATCAGGTGGACTGTGTACTCGTTTGTCACCCGTTCCCATAAAAAACCAGTTATGGGTATTGACCAACTTTTGACTACAAAAATCAGACAAATATGGTTTTGACCGATGCTCTTAGTCAAATACAGTTTTGACTGATTATATTTAGACAGTTATAAGTGGTTTAGTTTAATATTATGTTTTTATTTATTTTTTATATATTTGTACGCCGCTTTAGGGTGTCCCAACTCCCAAGGGCCACTCCAGCCGCACCTCACCCTATTGTTAATGATATTGCATATTGCAAGATTAGTGTAGTTTTATTAGACGCAATTAGGCTATCCTAATCATACGAGTACCAGAATATATAAAAATATATATATAGCAGTCAAAAGTAGTTTTGAATAACATTCTTGGTCAAACCGATATAATTTGGTCAAAATCAATAGTATCCAAAAAGTACTTTGGCCCAATGTTCATAGTCAAAACTACTTTTGCCTGATTTTTGCAGTCAAAAGTGGTTTTGAGTTTTGATTATAACATAAGTATACATTTTTATGTTAGGATAAAGCCAGTCCTTTTTCAACTTTTGCAACAGAACAAACTTAAAAATAATTTTATATTGTTATAAGAAAAACACACATTGTGGGTTTAAGGGTTGAGTAGCCAAAAAATAAGAAGAAGAAATGAGTAACTTTTAAAAATCGTTATTATCAGTCTGTGGTTTTGATTTTTAAGTGCGGACTTTCATTTCAATTTGCATGGATATTTTTCTTTGTTTGCATATTGATTATAGGTACGCGTAAATAAACTCGTTTTATTTGTAAATTTCTAAAACCGGTTAACCGACATTCTAAATACGTCTTCTCACCTTTCCATGAGAAACCAATGTTTCTTTTGTAAGTTCTTCCACCATTGTAGACGCTTCTAGTACAGCTTGTTGATTCAATTTCTGAAGTCTTATGTGCCATTCAATCCAGCTGTGACAAAAGAAACTATAGCTTAACCAAGATGATATAATGACGTAGAATGTAAAATATTTATCGTGTAGTGGCGGTTTAAGAATATCCACTACCCTATATCGTACCGTGGGTGTCTTCAGCAGCAGTGTCTTCCTAATAACGACCAAAAACAAAAATAAACTGCGTGCGTGGTAACTATGGGAATGCTAGTCACTAATAAATATATCGGCTTACAAAACTTACATACATCATTGAATATCATGTAGTCTTTTCGTGACGCGCGCACAACTGCTAACCTCTATCATTTTATTTATATAGGTAAGTACTATCTCGGGATTTATAAGAAATTGTAACAGCCCTATTATGTAATTATGCGTTATTTTATCTATCATAATTTTATCAATTAAAATAAAAAAATGAAATTATCCTTGATCCATTGGTCATAAATGTGACTACTGGTCATGTGGTACCGAGATTGAATCCCAAAAAACTAGTAAAAAATAAACAGAACACATGTGCTCGCACACACACTCGTACACTTTTATCATGTTCTGCGCATATGGTTAGTTTCCGTTAAGACTGGCATCGGTGACCGAAATTCGATCTGAATGAAACTGGTTAGTGATGTAGTCGATGATAGCGTGCGTTAACGGACAGCGTTCTGCCAGCTGATTCGTTAGACCTGGGCTTACACGGCTAACGAAGGCTGCGCAAAAGCTCTTCAACTCCTTTTTGTAGAGCCACGCTGGAGGGTAATGTGTCTACAGCATGAATAAGTCTACTCGACCGGGAAAGGACCACACAAGCACAAAATAATAGCGGCGTGAAATTAAGGCATGACGGTTTTTTTGAAACAATTTTTTTTATCGTAGAACTCGCTTTACCTTGCCTTGGAAGCACTTTGAATGTAAACATAAATATGAATTAACAAATCAAGTTCGTAACTTTCATAAACCAAAAATACAACTGGTCTTACGCTTGGCTTCCAATATTTTCTATCTGAGTGGGTTCCATGCTGTCTACAAATAAGTCTAATTCGCCAACTTCTAGTGCACTTATCTGATCTTTATCAGACATCTTTTTTACAATATTTCTTGCAGAAAAATAACTCAAATGAGCCAAAACGATACCAATTACACGAATTGGATTACCTTCGACGACTGAAAGGATTGTTACAAAGGTGAATTTCCAAGTTTTATTGTTTCTATAGTAACCAAATAAACCGATTTTAGTATTATCTTTGATTATATCTCCGAAACGGTCAATAGCGATTGTCAATATCTACGAATAATGATCGTTTACTTTATACAAATGCAAAAATTCTATAGCATTGACAAAAAAAAAATTGATTGAGCTGAAATTGGAAATGGCAATTGATTTTTACACGAAAAGACCTATTATCTGCATTTAAACTTGTTTTTAACATTTCGTGTTTGAAATCTTTTTATTTATGAATGATGTACGCGATATATATATCAAGTAAAGCACAAGCGCAAGCAAGTGCTTTCTTGTTTATCATGTCATTTGACAATAACAGTTTTCTTATAGAATCAAGTGGATACTGTGGATAAGGATAAGTGGACGCTGTGGCCCATAGATATTTACATCTATTCTCGATTACGAATCAAAATGCAAAGGATTTGCCCCCCCCCCCTCCCCCGAGGACTAAGATGGAATGCCTCGTTTCCGGAGGGTTACCGGTTCGTTACGCTCACCATACGAAACACAGCAGCACTGAGCTGCTATTTTGCACTGGCATTCTGTGAGAACGCGGTTTATCCCCGGTCGAGTCGACCCATTCATGCTACAACACAGATTAATAAATATGTTGAAATATGAATTTAATATTATAAATCTAGTTCCATTTCGGATGCCTCTTTTCATTCTATGATGTACACTTCGATTTACAAAAGTCTCCAAAATCATTCTTACGTAATTAATGAATGGCCACTTAGGATTAAGTTAAATATCGTACACAGGTATAATTTGACGAGAACAGAGGCATATTTATTGTTCATTAAATAACGCAAGTTAAGGAAATTAAATAACAGGAATTATAATTTTATAAGAAATTCAATGAATATGAATTAAAAATGAACTAATACACAACTTTAATAAATGAACTAAATTAAATTGAAAAACTATGACCACCAAAGCATTTGTGAAATAAGCATAAGTCAAAATTTAAAGTAAAATTAAAGTTACAGCTTATATACGTCCCACTGCTGGGCACATGCCTGCTCTCATCTCTGAGAGGGTTTCAGGACAAGGGAATTTTTTTTTAAATTTCTTTCCAGTCCAGTAGCGTGAAAACGTCGTCCAATGCAGCGGTGAAGAGTTTCGGGGATATAACGTCACCCTATCTTACACCCCTCTTTTTTTTTACATGGCGAAATGCCTACGCATACCCGCCTCGCGGGGGCAAGGACGGGTTATGTCGGACTCGCACCTACTAAAATCCCATGGTGTTCTACCTTCGTCGCATATTGGCAGGGCCACGGGAATGCTTTCGCACACATCCGCGGCCCCACCTGCGCTGGCGCTCCTCGGTAGAGGACTACTCCTCCCCTATCTCCTTCTCAGGAAAGGCGCACCAGCACACATGGCGCGCCCTCCTCCTTGGCATCCAATTTCCCCGTGTCCGATGCGCGAAGGCCATGGGGCCAGGAAAAACTAGCACTCACAAGCATCGGCCTTCCTGACCCCAGCGGCGGATCTGGTCTATGGCTCCGCCGCCAACCAAGATTCGGCTGCGGAGGGTAGGGAGAGCGGCGCCTCGCAATACCGACACTCCTCTCCCCCCGCAGCCCCACCACCACCGCATCAAGTAACGGTGCGGCCCCGTCAGAGTCGCGGAGAATAGGGCGAGTGGCGCATCGCCATACCAACACTCCTCTTCCTCCGCGACTCCACCTCGGCTGCAGCGGTAGAGGGAGCGGACACCCCTCTCACCGCAGCGACTACCACCGACACACATCCGAAGTGGACTCTCGCCAAGCCCACTCGGAGTGGCCACCTCGGGACGGCCCTTCACCACGGGCCAGCAAGGGGTTCCTCTTTGTTCACCGTGGGTGACCAAGCCACGGCTACTAAGCCCCCCCGACACGACAAGGCGGAAACCCGTTCGGGGGGGATCTTACACCCCTCTGCAGTTTGATAGGTTTCTCGGATACAAACACTTCAGCAATTCGATATACCGACAGTCAACTTGACACCGCTGAAGGGACTGTAGCACCGCCAAAATTTCGACGGAATCAAACGCTTTCTCATAGTCCACATACGCAAGGCAAAGTGGCAGATTATACTCCTCTGTCTTCTTTACAATTTGCCGAAGGGTGTGTATGTGGTCTATGGTACTAAAGCCTTTTCGGAAATCGGCTTGTTCGGGAGGCTGGAAGTTATCAAGTCTGCGTGCGAGACGATTCATAATGACTCTCGAAAACAGCACGTAGACGCAGCTCAGAAGGAAAATCGGTCTGTAGTTCTTCAAGAGAGCGTTATCGCCTTTCTTGAAAAACAATACCACCGCACTTCTTTTCCACGCCACCGGAGTAGTGCCACCATGGAGGACGGAATTAAAGAGCTTCTGAAGGACTTCAAGTACCGGTTTTCCACCCGCTTTCAAAAGCTCCGCTGTAATTCCATCCTAACCTGGGGCCCTCCTGTTTTAAGGTGCTGGAGAGCCATTTAAATCTCGCTCAGACTGGCGTCCGGGATATCATCGGAATAGTGTCGGATAAGAGTCGGTCTTGGATCGTCACTCACACTTGCGTGTTGCTCCAACGATGACGTTTACAGCTGCCCATAGAACCTTTCAATCTCACTCAAAATCTCTGGTGTCCCGGGAACGATGCTGCCACACTCGGTCTTCAGCTTTGACAGTTGGCTCTTTCTGGCAGACATATCTCTGGCAAAGACTTTGGAGCCTTAGTTTCGCTCGATCGCTTCTTCAATGCAAGCTGTAGTGAAGTTGCGTAAGTTCCGCCGCATGCATTTGGAGTTCTGTCTGTTCAGTTGTCTGTATGCCCGTATACCAACCATGAGATTAAGAGCGTGATCGGAGAGTTTTTGTGTTCTTCTTCAGCGTGTCTTGCAGAACTTAACGGTTCTGAAACTCGAGCTGAAAAGTTTCGGGACTTTGGAACAGAGCACGAGGGGGACGGAGCGTTGACTTTATTAGATGACTCGACGACGAATTTTAAAACAGCTTTAATTCAAATAGACATATCCCTGTATAAAATAAGGAACTTTCCGCTAGGGTATGCTAAACTATTATTTTTTAACAATTTAGGCTCTCTTTTATGTAAGAGTGAATATTTGTCTCTGTATTGCTAATATATATTTGTATATTATGTTTTGAAGCTATCTTTACAATGAATAGCTTGCGATGTTTTTCTACAAATATCTATAAAGCACGACATACACGGTCAGTTAAACTGATCAGTTGAACTGATGTATATCCAAAAACTGACCGTGTGTGTAAAATCTTAAGTTGAAATTTTAACTCAAAACGCAAAAAGTTAGACTGGAGAAAGTAACAAGCCTAACAAATTTAATAGGTACTGTTCATGTTCATCTGCATATTTGAAGGAGCTCGCAGTCAAGGTCTCGCCAAAATTCAATTATCAACTACATTCATTCCCATTATTTTGTGACTACGTATTTTCTTATTAACAACGTTTGGAACACAGACATCCTTTAATATAATACACAGATCAAAGATAATCGTAGAAATTAGAAACATGTGTTGCCAGAAAAAATATTATAAAATGGCGACTAGCGGAAGTCTATGTTTTATGTCGTTCTTTTGATATTTTGTCACACGTGCCGCGTGGAGTTTTGCCTCGCAGGTTGTTAAAAATTTATTATTTTACTACTATTTTGTGTAAAATATTTACTTTAAGATTAAGGAAATGGAACTGAGTGTTTCTAAATATTATAATTTACTTGTGCTTTTGTGTAATGTGCAAAAATAGTGGTCGGTTTTATGTGTTAGACGCACGGCAAGATTGATTATTTTCCACGTTTTGGCAAATACCATTAAAACAATATGATTATTTTCTAGTTAATTGATATTATTGAAGTTTGGTTCTTCTGTTTTTAAAAATAATAACTCCTTTCGAAAGTAGTTATAACAATTAATAACCTATAAATTATCTACTAAGGAAAGAAAGAATGCGGTAGTGTGGTTACTGGTCATAAACATTCAGTTCCCTTTCCCTTCTGTTTTACTTTTTGCTATTCCTAAATATAATTTTTCATTTTTTTAGAAAATAATACAATAGTAGTCAAAGTAACAATACATTGATTTATAATGTTATAAGTGCAAACAACCATAACCTCAAACACTACAGATGTTATGAAAATGTGCCGTTTTAAAAACGCCTGGTTTTTCACTTTATTTTAGACACACGATAAACTTAAAATAATATATTAGTAAGAATAAAAAAATAGAAAAGTAAATACAAAAGTATGTAAATACATTTAGTATGTAGCATATTTTATATTTATTATACTAACATTGTTAATAACTTCATGGATCATCATTAAAGCCCTTCACAAGTTCATTGCGGAACATAAGCCTCCCCCAAGGAATGCTACAAAGCATGGTTCTGAGCTACCTGCATCCATTGACTTCCTGAATATCTTATCCCTCTAAAATGGAAGATATTTTATTTATGATTTTTCATTATGTTGGATTTTATGTGGTTATAAAGATTTTTTAACATTCTTTCTAATTCCTTTTTATTTTAGCACAATGGTTGCGGTAACTAAAGAGAAGGCTGAAAAGAAGCCTGTGAAAGGCAAGGAGGACAGTAAGAAACTACCAGCAGTACCTGAGTCAGTTTTAAAACACCGTAAAAGGAGGGATGCACTTCGCACTCGCCGCATTCAAGTAATTATACTTTTTTTAAATCTGTGCTAATGGTTCAACAAATGCACCAAATTTCTATTATAAATATAAAAATATTAATATTATAAGGGGAGGAAAAGTGTGGCTGAAGCCTCCATAAGGGGAGCTTATAACAACAAACAAACTTTGGTTGTAGGTGATACAGGGTAACCAAAAATATGAA